GCCGGTGATTTTGGGGAGTTTTTTGTCAGTTCTGTGCACTCCCCCTTGCCAAAGCTCTGGCTGCGCCCTTGGGTCCGCTCCTCCACCCAGGGCGCCTATGGCCCTGAACTGTAGCCTCAGAGGTAAATGGATGTCGTTGGAGCGACACATGTCAAGGAGACAACCGGGGCTTTCTGCTACTGAGAGGAACAGCGGTTGTGAAGCAGGAAGCCGAGCATCGCTGATATAGGCCTCCCACATTGTCGCACCTCAGACTTACCGCACTTATATGTGGACAGGCATGAAATAAAACGCTTTAAGTCGTCAACATATCGCATATAACGCTGAATGAAGGCGTCACAGGTGTTGAAAAATGTCAAGTAACAGCGACACGAAAGTAATAGAAGTAACAGCGACACGGAAAATACAGTTCTCACCTTTACTTCTCCAATTCCACCACCGGCGTTCCGCATCACTTCGCGATGCTGCTGAGGCCAATACGTTATTGATATCAATATAAAAAACCCACAGGTAAAACATGCGCCTCGAATCAGGTGTTTAAAAATGCCGTTTGCATCTGTTGATGCCAACCTTGTATGGGTTTTGCCCTAAATGATTGGGATCATGTAAGAAAGTGATACCGGCTCTGTACCGGCAATGATAAGGTCGGGATAATGAAGGTCGCCAACGCTTTCAGCTGACTGTACAATGACGTCACGAAAGCAAAAGTGACATTGTTTCAGGTGCTTGTAGAAAAATGTTATCGGTAAATGTGGGGCCACAGGGATGTAGTTTTGCAAAATTCGTAGGGGTGAGGATGGTAGGGGAAGGGGAGGGGTGAAGGAAGACAAATGGCCGAGCCTGCATCCAAAATGCACCTAAACCCCAGATTAAGACAAATTAAAAATCATGGATAAAAAGGGCAAGTAAAATAGGGAACTGCATCCCTGGTCGGAAGGAACAATCCTGCTCCCCGCCCCCTCTCTCCAACTGAATAGGAAGCTACGCGGCTTTAGGCTGGTTATGTTATGCATGCCTTTTTCTGGTAATTATGTTGGGTTGGTCTGAACCTTCATTTAGTGTCTGATGGCCAGCAAACGAAAATTCAGTGCAAATGAACTCCCGAAACGGAAATGTTTGATGGTTATACCGCATTGCATTGGTCGTCTTTGCTTTTTGTGGTTTATTGCGTTTTGAGATATATTGCAAAGATTGCTGAACTATCTGAGCCCAGATGACAGCTCGGGTGGCTCCAAATTCGTCGATGACAGAAGCGACACTTTTTCGCCCCTGGATCGCATCACTGGCTACGCTTCTGCAAGACAGATGCCTTAATGTAACAGAATGTAAGGTGTCGTTGAGGGCCGCCGAGTCCTTGGAATAGCCATAGATCATGGCGGCGGGGGTTCACCGCTGAGCCCATGCGTGCCCGCGCTACGGCAGGCCGTCCGAGCTGGTGGCAACATTCGTGACTGTGACGAGCTGGAACGGCCGAGCCATCAAGCGTGAGCCGGCCTGGAGACACCAGCGCCGTGATCAGGGGTCCGCGACGCGGCAGTCGGACGCAGCTGGCGCGGCACCTTCGGATAAAGTTCCGTATGGCATAGTGTTGTGAATGATTTTAGTTTCGGTTGAACTGGTGCAAGCCAAATTTAAAAAGTTTGTTTAAATTTCAATTTCAAAAGAGAAGACTTCAACAATCCGCCTAAGACCACTACCGGTGGTAATCAGCCTGTGATTTTCACCACCCACCAGAAGCCAGTTTCTCAAATCGAAAACACAATCTTACGCCAAGTATTAACGTGTTGTTTCGATTTTACAACCTACACACTAAGCATGTTCCTCAAAGCCGTCACGTGACCTTTGCCATAGTTTGTACATTTGGCAGTGGCGTAGATTTGTGCGTCCCGTTGCCAGGACAACGACCACCAAACTGGAGATAATTCTAGCAGCCATAATTAGGTGTCTTGTGTTTTGAATATGTGTTACTTGGGCCAGAATTGCGATCGATTGAGACAAAATAATATATGAGTTTTTACTTGGCTGGCTCGACATCAGACCAGCCACATTAGCATACGATTTTGGAAACACTATTTCGAGCTATTTGTGACGCTTTGGTTGAAGAGCAACGCTTATCAGGATATGAAATCAAAGGGGCGGGTGGAGGTAGTGCAGTGGTTAACGCGTCTGGGTACGTGGTTCGATTACCCGCAGTGCCCGCGTTTCCACCACGGTGAGATGCAACTGGCGCCTCAAAGCGTAAGTAGCTGAGTGCATCTGAAATCTCCAATGACGACCATGAATAAAGGAAGAGTACGGTAGGTAGTGTTCAAGAGTACCAGAGAGTGGAGACAACACCTCGTCCGCAAAGAATTTGTGTGATACCATTGCTCGTCGACTCGCCCATGGTGGTGTGCGCCCACCTCTGAACAACACCATTTAGTTGCGTCGACCGTTGGCCATCGACGTGCTGTGTTTGTAAGTCTCCATGCTACGTAATAAATAGAGCAACACGTGTTGTAGATGTGTGTGGCATTGTGGAGATGCGTGCAGAACTAGGGGCTGATTTTGGTGGTAATGGTGTCCATAATTGGTAAATTCTGTGAACGAATCTTTCTTCCATTCATCAGCTCCTTCAGTGTTCAGTTTCATCCTAAAAGGTTCCACTCATGGAGGCTTTATTTTACATAGCGATTGTGGGCGAGATCTGTGAATAGTAAGTGCACAATGCCTGTGCTTACTAAGTATGTCTTAGGCATTGGAGGTGGGATTGTCAGCCTTAGCCTTCAGATCTTAAGGGAACATGTGGAGTAAACACGAGCTGTCAATGAGCACTGAAAAGGGGTCATTCATGGATCCAATCACAAGCAGCTTGCTGTACTTGTCATTGGCAACAGGTTTCTTCTATATGGTCCATGATTGACGGTAGGTTTATGTTATATGACTTTATGCAGGACAGCTGGTACATTATGTCATAGTGGTGCACAAGATGAATGCAGCTGTGTTATCCAAATAATGTCAGTTTTAGCGAATAATTCGTGCGCCATGCTAAGCTATTTTATTAGCATTTATTGCACTTCATAATGTTTTCAACCAGAGTAAGCACTGCAAGCAATGATGCTGCCCATATCTTACTTTGGGAGTGCGTGGAATGCAACTTGTATACACATTGAATGTATAATATGCATAAGAGGTATTGTGACAGCCACACAAATTTCTCAACTGGCATGCATTTTGACGTTCTTGCAAAGGAAGCTCCTTGACCACGCTTTTTTGCCTTATCTTTTGGTCTTGGCATGTCCACCCAAGGCTTCTTGCCTGAAAGACTGGAACACTCACTATTACTTGCTCACACTCAAGTTCTACGATCTGTCATGCCTTTTGCAGCTGTTGCATGTTGTTCAGGCTTGCTTCTTCAGCAATTTGTATTTCAATGAGTAACAATCCTAAGTTCGGTATTATAATCTAAGACACAAATGCTTGCGTTGAATGCATTGCCAAATTCATCGAGGACTTACCAAAATCAGGCTCTGTCGTACGTTTGTTCTTGCCTTTGAGAAAGACATGCAAGATTGTTCGCGCATAGTTGTGTCGTAGTTTGTACAATTTCTGTGCCTTTTTTAGAGTCGTAGACTGTAGTTGTAAGTTGCATATTTTTGCGTTGAGAAACTGGATTATACTATTGTACGCCAAAAATGCACGATTTATGCCAAAAATCTACGAATTTCTGTTTTGAGAAACTGGCTACTGGCAACTGGTGGCAGGGTCTGTCCCTAGCGCAAATTAACGTGGGTCTCACAATTTTGATGTAATATGATTAACCCAGAAGTTGTTTTAATCTTTAAGTCCATGCTTCAACCTATGACAGCCGCGCGAATGTGAAACTTTAAGACGTATCTTGTCCATGACCTTGAAAAGGAATGTGTGGATGTTCAGGAAGCATTTTGGTGATCGTATTCATAACCTTATGCGTATCCTGCCGTAAAATCTCCTAGATATACGGTATCATAGTGTCTCAAATCACAGCCGGGAAGCATTAGGTGTTGAACGTGGCGGCTGGACACCGTGGATGGATGCGTCACCATAGTTGCACTACATCGTTCCAAAAAAGTACTAGACTTCCATTATATGTATTGAGAAATCCTATTTCGCGACTTGTATGAAGACGTGTCCACTGATGCTCTCAATGACATGTACAAAAACGTTTTTATTGCTGAAAGGATCCGTTATGCCAAAAAGCAGTGTCACATCGGAAGAATCATGATTCTTACACCACAGAGGGAGATGTCTTTTACAAAGATTATCTGGCACTTAAAGTACCTGAAAAAACGCCCGGTGAAGTGGTAAAGTGATTGATGCTAATACAATAGCTTTTCTGAACAACCGACGAACTACTTGCAGTTTTTCACGATCACTGAGCTGACGGTTTTCAGAAGAACCCCATAAGGATGAAGTCTCTTCTCAAAGCACTTCGTGACAAAGAACCTTGTGAAGTCTCGGAGAACGTTATCTTTAAAAACGGCAGAAAAAAACTAGATTCTTCAACAACCCTCCGGATTCTGAAGTGCCCTTGGCTTCATCATACCGGCAGCCGCTCGTCGTAAACTTCGTCGTGGTGCTCCAGCGCGAGCCAAATACGTACGGCCAGTGCATCCCGTCGGAGAAGAGCCGCGTGCGGTAGGAAGGCCGGCCGGGCCATTCCGGTGACGAGGAATCGATCAGTGTCTGATCGCATGCAATGACCTCAGTGGACAGGTAGATCGCGTGAATAGTGGTGCCTCTGGACGGAGGAACGGGAGCAGGTATGACAACTGCTGGAGCCAGGCAGAAAGCCAGTGCTGACAGAGTGCCACAACACCGACAGCAGCAGCAGCAGTAGCAGCAGGAGTAGCAGGAGAATGAGGAGGAGGAGGAGGAGGATAGCATATATTTCGGCACGAATGGTTATCACATTATTGCTAAGCGATGCTGCTCAAGAACGTGACGCTTACGCATGACGCCAGCGTGACGTTATCACTCACCCCGGCACGCCGCCCGACTCCATGTGGTTGGCGAGTGTGACGTCATCGCTCCAGACATCGTACTGCCACTTGCGCAGGCCGAGCACGCCGCACAGGACGTTTCCTGAGTGGACGCCGATGCGCATGTCCACGTTGAAGCCGGTCGCTTCCCGCACAGTGCTGCGCCAGGGCCAGGCGTGCACGGTTGTAGCCGAGTTAGTAAGCGTGGTGTGGTCCTAAACCGGCGCCTGGTGTATCTCTGTTGTCTGTTGTTGGTACTTTCTGGCTTTCGTTTACTTGAATGGTAGGAACAAGGCAAACAAGTTGTTCTTTAAACGCGCAGCTGTGTTTTACGAAAACTTACTTTCGCACAAAGCATGAAAGCGATTACAGCTTATCACTCAGCTCCAGCAGAAGCATGTTAAAATATATTAAAGCCAAACTGACATGCACAGAAATGACCGTATTTAGAACATGTAGCACGTATTTTTGCGAAGTAGTGCGTAGTTTCCGCTCTCGCAAGTGTTTATGAGTGTTGGATCATGCACGAGACTTGATAAAAGAAAGAAATGCTTTCATGTACTTGGTTTTTGGCACCCAGGGCTCAGAGTTCTTATGCGGAGTTGCCCGCCTTCAATGTGTGGTAGAAGGGGTGTTTCAGGCCGGCCTCACCTTATGGTGTGAGAGGGTAACCCTGGCCGGCCCCACCTTATGGTGTGAGAGGGTAACCCTGGCCGGCCTCACCTTATGGTGTGAGAGGGTAACCCTGGCGGGCCTCACCTTATGGCGTGAGAGGGTAACCCTGGCCGGCCCCACCTTATGGTGTGAGAGGGTAACCCTGGCCGGACTCACCTTATGGTGTGTGAGGGTAACCCTGGCCGGCCTCACCTTATGGTGTGTGAGGGTAACCTTGGCCGGCCTCACCTTATGGTGTGAGAGGGTGACCCTGGCTGGCCTCACCTTATGATGTGAGAGGGTAACCCTGGCCGGCCCCACCTCATGGTGTGGGAGGGTTATCCTGGCCGGCCTTACCTTGTGGTGTGAGAGGGTAACCCTGGCTGGCCTCACCTTATAGTGTGAGAGGGTAACCCTGGCCGGTCTCACCTTATGGTGTGAGAGGGTAACCCTGGCCGGCCTTACCGTATGGCGTCGATCATCTGCAGTCCCATGCTGACGCAGTTCTTGGCATGGCAGGGTCGTGACACCGGTAAGCCCGACACGCAATAGTAGCAGTCGCCCAGGATCTTGATCCGCATGCACTGGTTCTCCTGCGGCAGGTCCCGGCGAGGTCACGCACAGAGCCAGCCGACGCTCTTGGGGTGCCAGAACATCTCCAATGTCGTTAGTCATCGGCATCGCCGGTATCAAGAACGGCCACCGCAGTAGTAGCAGCAGCAGAAAGCTCAGAAGCATGCAGTTTAGACCGTGACCGGTATTTTGCATGTGACGGCTATAGCGAGCAGCTGCAGCCTTCAGGCCTTTCAAGCCTTCATCACTTCAAGACCAACAGGCGCCAACGGGTGACAATGAGAAAGCTGAAATTTCGGTGACTAGTTCCCGATCCACAGAATCCACAATCCAATCGCGTGCCAAACTGGAATTTTCGAAACGTATAAGCAAAGTGTGCTTAACATTCACAGCGTGTCATGCGAACCGATTGAATGTGACACGGAATGCAGGCCATGATCCCCAGAAGCCGGCTGGCTATTTCATCACAAAGAGCTCGTGGGAAGTCGTCGAAGAGCGAAACCCTCGCACAGTCTGGTGTCTGGCCAATTCTGGTGTCTGGCCAATTTGTCAGGATCGCAGCCAATTACCGTCTTTCAGTTCACAGAGCAGATCAGCGCGTGCCGAGCCATGAAAGGTCGCGAGATCCACTGGTCGCCGTCCAGCGGAGACCAGTCTGCCCGCGCCCCCCCCCCCCCCTCGCTCTCGCCGCCGCGTCCCCGGAGAACAGCCCCAGCTAAAGCCATAGTGGCGGTACCGAGACGTGGCGAAAGCCGAGCCACCGGCAAGTCAGAGCCTCCCGCCGGGCATGTCCCACGGACGGCGCCGGCGGCCGCAGCCGACCATCGCGTGAGAATGACTGCTGACACACGGGTCAGGACAGAACATAACGACGACCGTGGCCTCCAGGCGCGTGTGGGGCCAAAGCCAAGCCCGGTCTCGCGGTCTCTGCGGCTATTCATGTGCAGGGCACTTTTGGGAGACCGTCGTACTTAACAATGCCGATGGGGTTGTGTCTACGGGTCGCCACATTATGAATAGGATGCATCCAATATGCTCCGGCTGGCAGCAAGGGGCGAGTGTCAGCTGCGCGCTTGATTAAGCGTCAGCTGACGCAAACATTCACATTAGCCGATCGAGGTGTAGGCTTATGAGCGTCCGTAGCATTCTCGTTGACCTGGCAGCCATAGTCCGTCGCGTGGCTGAGATTAGGCATTTGTATGCACGGTAGCAGGGTTGCGATGAGGAAAAAGCCCCAAAACCTGCCAAGTTTCATTGAAACTTGCATGGCGTGTCCAAGCTGAATGCAGACGCGGGGTATCATTATTACAAAGAACGGGTTAGCCCAGACGAAACGTGAAATCGTGGCCAGCTGAGAAGTTTGTGCTGCATCCTAGTTTGGATGTGCTGCCAAAATGCCTGATTCGAACGCTGGCTTGCTTTCCCCCCTCGCAAAAAACAGCTAAATGAATTTCCATGCTGTGAATCTGAGAGTGTGGCAAATAGCAACGGTGGTGGTGGACTCCCCAAACAGAAATGACCTGGAGCGGCAGAATGCAACGTAAATGTTACTCTCTATTGTGCGATCCAAAGGTTCGACTGTAATTCGGCACAACGGATTGCATGGAGCATGCGAAACGGTGCCCCAGGTAGATCTGTTACAAAATGGATACGGAACAAGAGCAGAGTGTGATATGCCAATTACAGCAGCCCCACATGTCGCTTACGTTGACTGCAGGCCGCCGCCACGGCGCTCCACGCCGGGCAGGCAAAACATGACCGTCGCAATACACCAGCCACAGTGATGAACCTGATGAGGCCATGGTATTAAGTAAGGCGCTTAAACGACCTGCTTTAACGCACTCTGAGCCGGCCAGGGTTCTCGAGCTAAGTGCTGACCTGGGCGATCTGGTCGAACCTGCCGAACATCTCGTTGAGGGTCAGCACCAGATCACTGGCGCTGAGCTGTTCCGAAAGTGGTGTGAAGTTCACGATGTCCGCGTACAAAATGCTGCCGGAGAGAGCGAGATCATCAGCGTTGTTTTGAAGTAGGGGTTCATAAAATGCTAAGCATTCAATATCGTATGCTTTCTTTATGTCAGGTGTTGCGGGAACCGTATGACTGCAACGGGCGCAATGAAACTAGGACGTAACAATAGGCGATTTGTGTTGTGATCATAACCGTGGGTATGCTGGTAGGTTTTCCAAATCAATGATGCACCACTTAAATGAATTCAACTTCTTAGTCCTGGCATCTTTCAAATATGTGTCCGTCACATCGTCTCTGTATCTTCCACACAGGTGTGCCCCAGCTGTCTACTGTTGCATTCAAATAGCTTTCATCCAAATCTATTAAACATTGCGGAATTAAACATTTGTTTCGAAACTGAACTAAAGAAATGAAAGAACTTAGTTCTTATAGCCCGATTCACGGTACGTGTAGCCACCAGTTAAACCGTACAAACAGCGACCGGCGCTTAATCAACAGCCACCTGACCGAGAGCCATTTCGGAGAGAGAGAGAGAGAGGGAGAGAAGAGAGAGAGAGAGAGAGAAGAGAGAGAGAGAGAGAGAGAGAGAGATAGCGGAGAGAGAGCGCGAGAGAGAGTAGAAGACAGAGAGAGAGAGAGAGAGAGAGAGAGAGAAGAGATACATAGACAGACAGACAGACAGACAGACAGACACAGACAGACAGACAGACAGAAAAGACAGACAGACAACAGACAGACAGACAGACAGACAGACAGACAGCAGACAGACAACAGACAGACAGACCGACAGACAGACAGACAGACAGACAGACAGACAGACAGACGACAGACAGACACAGACAGACAGACAGACACAGACATACAGACAGACACAGACAGACAGACAGACAGACAGAGACGACAGACAGACAGACAGACAGACGACAGACAGACAGACAGACAACAGACAGACAGACGACAGACAGATCAGACAGACAGACAGACGACAGACAGACAGACATACAGACAGACCAGACGAGACATAGAGAAGATAGATAGATAGAGAGAAGAGAGATATAGATAGAAGAGAAGAGAGAGACGAGGAGAGATAGAGGAGAGAGAGTAGAAGAGAAGAAGAGAGAGAGAGAAAGAGAAGAAGAGAGATGAGAGAGAAGAGAGATAGAGATAGAGAGATGAGAGGAGATAGGAGAGGAGAGAGAGAGAGAGAGAGAGAGAGAGGACGATGAGCATTAGAGTGTGATTACCACCGGGTTTGCAGTGAACGCTTACAAGTTAACCTAACTGCATATCCACATGTGCCATCAGATAACAAATCAGTCAAGTTCAGTTCATAAGCGTCCTACTGCATAACAATTAAACGCCTGGAACTGACAGGGTGACACTTATAAGCCGCGAGCATAGTTAGGGCAAACATGTCCAGTAAACACGGCGCCAAGTTGCCTGGCCATTTGCCAGGCAACTTGCAATTTGCCTGGCATCAACAGCCAGCGGCGGCGCGCGCAAGAAGATCGCCGCGGATGTGGCGTGGACGGCAGCGTCTCGTCTCGTCGAGGCCTCAGCTACACACGTGGCGAGGTTCACGAGGTTCGAAGAGCACGTCGGTTGGTCACTTCTTGATTTGTTCGGGTCAATTTCGGAGAGCCAGGCGGACATAATAACCGGGCGGGCGCAGATCCCGGCCCGTCTGTCTTCGCAGGATAACTCGGGCCGAGCGGACGGGCCGGAAATCCCACATACCCGGCCCGGACAATGACCATGCTCCAGCCGACCGTCCGGAGGCCGGCTTGGGACAAAGGCGGCGGACCAGCGAACCTGTCGAGGAAGTGGCCGGGAGGAGGGTGGGGGGAGGGGCGCTGCGTGGTCATCGAGAGGCGCATGAGCGAAATTGGCAACTCTGGCACTTCTGGCACACCGCTTTCAGTTTCGTGTTGTCTTGAGTTCATTGGATCGGTGTTCTGGAGAGGGAGGAGTAACATTTGTTTCCAGTGTGTTTGAGATGTGCTTGGCTGGGAGGAATACTACAGATCGTAGCGTGACCGACCTGAGGTCACGAGAACAAAGATGGGCAGGATGTTACAGTACTGGCCCAAGCTGGCCGTGATATAAGCGCAGAACTTGGACTAACGCCCGCCGTTAAGTCACAAGAACAGCCGCCGGCTGGCTGTCAGAAAGAAATCCTCACGCGGACATAAGTTGCAGCATTAAGTTTCCAATCTAAAAGCGACTGATTTACTTCCGCTCTTTTCCCAGTATCATGCGACAAGACTAAGCCACTGTCCGCCAGCTCCATTCCCCACATCTTCCTCTTTCACCGCGATGCTATAAATACGTAGGTATCACTTGGTGTCACCTAAAGATAGCACTTTTAATGAATATCCCGGCCTTCGTGAATGCAACCCACCTTGTTCTAACTCCCAGCTTACGAAAAAGCATGAGCTTCCTATAGCATACCTCCTGGCAGTGGTAATGGAGCTCCCACCACTCCACCGCGGTCTTGAAAGTACGAGGGCATAACTGAAGGCAATGGTCACCGAGTTTCAGCATTTCCCTGAAATGCCTTTATCCAGGTGTCGCTTTAAATGGTCATGGACCGCCCTGTCACGATTTCTGGAGAGTTGAAAGCTGGTTTGGAACCAGCGGCCAAAATTAAAGGGAATGTTCCATATTTGAAGATATTGAAATAAGCATCGGATATGATGGGAAAAGCTTACTTGTAACTATTGGTAAGGTTTCAAGGTTCAAAAACGACCTAAGTAGCAAAATTTTAAGGGTTGTAAAAATGCACCTCATCACGTCATTGTTTGATGGCGTCATGGAATGATTTGTAATGACAGCAACACCTGTCGGCATCTGGCAGCCAGACCTAAAGAATACCTCGAAACGCACGAAAGCTGACGCCAAGCGGCCACTCTTGTCGCGGGCGCTGTTTGGGTGGCGGATAAGTGAAATACTTGTTTGTGGATTTTGTTGTCTTGGTACTGGTCGTGAAAGAAGGTTTGGTGGGCTGCCGGGCATACGAACGTGGTGATCGCCAGCTTTTAGGGCAAATTATTAAAGGCAATGCTCAACAGTTGAAGGTATTGGGATAAGCATCAGACATGATGGAAAAAGCTTACTTGTAACTACTGGTTTCAAGATTTTTTAAAGACTTCACTTTTAAGATTCAAAAGTAACCCTAAATAGCAAAATTGCGAAGTTTGTAAAAATGCACCCCATTACGTCATCGTTTGATGGCGTCATGGAATGGTTTTGTGACGACAGCAATACCTTGCAGCATCTGGCAGCCAGACCTAAAGGATGCTTCGAAACCGACGAAAGCTGACGCGGTTCGGCCATGCTTATTCCGGGTCCTGTGTTGGGTGGTGGATTAGTGGGTGGTTTGTTAGTGGATTTTTTGTCTTGATCGTTAGAATAGCTTTGGTGGACTGTTTGACACACGCAACGTAACGGTCGCCAGGTTTTAGGACAGGTTATTAATATCAAGTCGCGATATGCCGTGAAAACTGTCCTTTAGGGTCATGAATCCTTACCGAAATTTCCTAATGACTGCTGGGAACATCAAAACTGTATTGTCGACCTATCCTTGCCTGCAGCGCTGTAGTCCTGACATTGATATCATGTGATGTGCACAGCAGTCCTTTTCTTTATCATTTGTAACTGGAAATGCAAAGACAATTTTGCATGCCAAAATTGATAAATATGTAGCATTGTTATTAATTGACCGCCAAAGCACTTCTATTGCTATGATAAAGATGGTAAGGATGAGCTGCAATAATTTTTTTCTTGCGTAAGGCTATCTATGCAATTACTAGCTTACCCTGATATGACCATTGTGCTGCGACAGCATTCTCGCTGGTGATAGTCCTTTGGCGTCGTTAAAATCAGTTGATACCAGTCACCCATGAATTACAAACCGTTTTCTCATAGGTTTCACAAAGAGAAGCCAACCAATGTAATAGATTATGTAATCGAACGGGTTAACAGCGTCATTCTGGCATTACTTCATTGCTCTACTGTGGCATGGAATAAACAATGATATGGTTTCCGCACGCAATCCCTGCTGCTTTCCTTTTAAATTCCATCATGACAAGATGGGTTAAGAGTGCATTCTTCTATTAACTCCGCATCTGACATATGACTAACCAAAAACACACGATGAAATATACAAATCACTTTCCGCAAAGCACACAACCAATATTGGACATCACTTGCTCAGCCTGTTCTAGGTATCCATAAAACATAGGTGACAAAGATGCAAACACGTCTTCTGCTTCCACACCCATGCAACATGCTAGGCCGTCAGGCTGCTTTGACAAACAATATTGTTTACTCAAGTAATAATGCATGTAAAACAAAAAAAAATATTACGTTTAGTGAAATGGCACTGCAAACCTGCTGACCTTGCACAACACTGGAGACATGCCAAGTGCATGTAGTTTTGGTTAGATGGGTGGAATGCAACGAAGTGATGAGGCCTCCGGTGCACGCAGGGCTCATGATACAAGTATTATTCAGTTCTATCCAAGAAACCGACAGCAACACTTCTCTACTTTTTTACTTTTTTGCTCATCACCCAGCGTCTTACACAAGTTACAGTGACTATGACAAAGGTGAGTCACAAGCAATGCTTGCCTGCATACAAAATTCAGAATTATTGAGGGAAGGGCAATTGTGCAAAGCTGCATCATGTGGGTTTATACGAAGCGTGTGGATTTATGAGCAGCATAGGCCAGCCCCTATTGCCAAAATGAGTTATAAATATAATGGCGTGCAAGGGATTAATTGCATGCTGTAATGCTTCAATAGGTTCAAAATGGTGGCAAGATCATCATGATGAAGCGAAATGCCTTTGCACACCCCTGCAACATAAGTGCTGTTTTTTCTTTCAGTTTACGAGCATCACCACCCTGTCCTGGTCAAACACGAAAATAAAGATGGAGGCAAGTATCGAAATATCACATTTTATTGAGAGCCAGTAGCCTTTAAAAATGCCAAAACAATGCTCTCCCTCAGAAGAACAA